AATATTTGTGTATATTTATATATATTTTGTTTTCAGGCGAACCTGCATTGTGTAGTCGGGTAAGCAAAACCTCCCATTCCCTCACGGAGCCTGCGTAGATCAAGAGACATGCCATTCCGCTATTAACAGTGATTTTTCTTGACTCATTTTTAAGTAAAAATGTATTATTATTTGATGTTTTAATTGGGATCTAAATATGATGTGTATTATTTGAGTTATAACAGGGGCGGAGGGGCCTGTATATCAGGGCGATGCGGTTGGAGGTACCCTCCTCCCCCTCCTCCTCCTCCCATCCTCCCTGTCTCCATCAGCTCTGTGGGATCAATACTTGCAGGGGTAAATACTGAGCAGAGGACGGGTTAAATTACATGTGATGATATGCTGTTTTCTTGTTTTATTCCATGGCTTTGTTGGCTTTAATGGCCATTCCGACGAAAGGCCCTGTGTAAGCAAGCACTTGAGTGATTTATATTCCTCAGTGATGTGAAGGGCACTGTGGAGGAATATATGAGCAATAGCCGTCGGTAAATGTGCTTTAAAGAAAAGGCAGACTCGGTGTTGTGCAGTGCTGCTGCATGATTATTTCATGCTCCAGTTAAATGTGCTTTTTATGTTCAGTCATTGCTTTAGGTGTGGTATGTTTTTTTTAACGACATTTCTTTTGATCTACATCTTGCTGCCTCTTGTCAGCTTGTAAGGATGGACTGGCACAGATGCAGACAGCTTGACTACTGTAAACTCATGAATATCAGTGCTCAGTGAAGCTGATCATGCCTGATGCAGATGATGAGTGACAGCTATTAAGCTATAAATTAGCTGACAATTATTATCATTAGGATCATTTCATGTGATATGTGTGTCGGTGCATGTTTGAATTTGAAAAGATAGATGGATCTGAAAAAAAAAACAAGTAAACAGTACAACAGATGCATACAAATTGAGTGGCGCTTGTTATGTAGATTTTCAACTATTTGTCTTAACCAAACAAGTTCATAAAACATTTTAAATGTTATTACAGAAAATTTGTAGAGAACCACTTCCTACTGCATTACAGAAATTCAGCCCCTGTAATACTGAACGAAACATTATTTAAGGGCTGCAACTACTAATTTTGTCATTATAAAATGATCTATGGATTATATTCTTGATGAAGCATTTTGTCTATACAATGGCAGAAAAAAGTTCTCAATAACCATCACAGTTTCCGAAAGTGATGAGTCAAAGGTGACGTCTTCAAATGCTTTGCGTTGTCTGATCAGCACTCCACTACCCAAAGCTTTTTACTACCATAAGAGACTACAAATATTCTCATTTGAGAAGCTGGAACCAGTGGATATTGAAGATTTTTTATGAATTAAGCAATTATTTGATTCATTTTCTGTAATTTAATTGAATAATTGTTTCAGCTCAAATTACTTTCCTTTAGCAGTGATGCTTGATATTGTGTTTTATTTTTTTACAGGACTGTGTGAGAGGCAGTGTGTGTGTTCATATCCCTGCTGTGTCCTCCCAGGACTTGGGCTGTGATAATTATAAAACAGAAAAGCCCAAAAGCAATTGAGTTTAATGAATGGTCCAGATGATGGGTTTAACTTCAAAGACTTAGTCTTATATAAAAACATTTGTTAGCAAGAAAACGTCATTGAAAAGCTGAATTTGCTCGTAGTCGTTAATCACTGTGTGTCTTCTTTGATGTTGCAGGATCTTGGGAGTCAAGCCAAGATGTGACCGTCACAGCGCGTCATAGTTTGGATCTGCCCAGCCTTTACAACACTTGTTTCTATAGCAACAGAAATATCACAGTATCCTAAAAACTCCCATTCCCACAATGCAGTCCTCTAGCTGTTCCTCTCAGCCTCCAAAGCCACGGCGCTTTGACGTCAGCAGGCGGACCAATGCTTTAGCTGCACCAAAGTCTCACGGCCCTGGTTTTCAGAGGGAGGATAAAAACATGAACACAATCACCACGTCCTCCCCACGCCGGGCTACTAAAGGCCCCACTGCACCCACCAGGACCAGGGTGGGGGTGCAGCCTCGAGCACCCGTAAGCCAGTCAAGGTTTGTTTCACAAAAACAGGTTTCAACCATTTCTAAAGCGGCTAAGCCCAAACCCAAGGGTGCTCGCGCATCGGCAGCAACCAAAATTGCACCAGCAGCCGCTCCTCCTCCGCTTCCCTCTGTTCTCCCTCTTGACCCGAATTGCAACGAGCCCAGCCTCCCGTGTCTGTGCTGCGATGGGCGCTCCCCGCAGGACAACAACAGTATGTTCAACCATAACCACAACAACAACAACACCATCTCTATCAGACAGCAACTGCAGCTACCACCTCCACCGGCCCCGTTGCCCCAGAGGCAGAATGGGAAAGGGGCCAAAGAGCAGCCTCAGCCTCCTTTGCAAGCACAGGCCCAGCTGGAGCCCTCTGCCTGCCCTGCTGCCAGTCTGGAAAATGAAGGCAAGAATGCAGATGAAAGTGCTGATCTGGACAACAAGAAAAATGTAAAAGTAGAGGAAGAAGATGACGAGGAAGAGAGCAGTGGGGACATTGATATTGACGATGATGAAGAGGAGGCTGACAATGACGACGACGACGACGACGATGACGACACCCTGGTCCCCTCTTGCTGTGACTGTCCCCCCTCCCTCCTGGAGTTCTCGCTCTCCTCCTCCACCTCCTCGTCCTCCACTTCTATCAGCTCCTGCTCTGATCTGGAGTCTGACTGTGCAGATCAATCCACCTCCATCTGCTCTTCCCATGACCAAGATAATTTATCCGTCGCTCTGTCCACCAAAGAGCAATCTCTTCCACAAGCACCTGAATGCCAGCCTCCTGCGCATTCACCCCCATCCCTTCCTCTGAGCCGCAATCCCTTCTCCTTAACGTCACATTCCCCGATTCCCCCTTGCTCCCCAGATGAGGGCTACCCCTCTGCCCTGGACTCCCCTTCTCCTGACTACTTAGGAGTCAAAGGTGATTCTGAGGTCACCAAACTAGGCTTGCTTGACTTTCTAGAATCAGTAGGGGAGTTTGGGAAAATGGAGCGCTTTAGCCAGGTGATCCAAGTGGCTCGTTGGGATCTGGAGGGGGAACAACACTGGGATGTTCTGAGGGATCGGCTAGATCACCTGGATCGCTTGGAGAAGGTGAACAGGGAAGTGAAACTGGCCTATGTCGCCAGACTCCACGAGAAGGGATTTGATCTTGGAGATCTGGAAGAGCAGGATCTCTCAGATGTCATGGATGAAATGGGCAACATCGACATTCCCTGGAAGTTGTATAAAGGTCGCGGAGGAACGATGGGAGACTCTCAGGAGTTTTCAGACGCAGGGGTTGATCTCACTGCTCCATCAGACTGTGATGAGCCTCTTGTTCCTGATTCCCTTACCCCTTCCCCCGTCGAGCCACCACCCAGACCCCCCAAACCTCCCGCGCGTCATGCCAGCGTGAGCTCTGATCTCCACACCTACATCAATATCAGCAGGGAGACCACCTCCATGGCTGTGTCCACCTCTCCTACTTTGACAACTTTCTCCCCAAACTCCTCATCCCCCACATTCACCACTTTTAGGTGTGAGAAACCCCTACCTCCATCTCCACCATCCATTCCTCCTCTCCCCACCTCTAAACCAGTCCCTTACTTCACACTCTATACCTCTCCTTCTCCACCGCCGTCTATTCCCACCCCAACTCCTCCTATTCCTCCCCCTCGGAGGCGTCACCTCGCCAGGAAAGAGGCGCAGCGCCTCGCTGCTCTTCAAGCCGAACAGGAAAAGACCCCCCTTTCCCTTCCTCCTCCTACCACACGTCCCCCACCTCTACCTCCTCCCCCAGTTATCTCAGTCTCATCCTCATCTCCCCCTGCCATACCACCCCCACCTGCCCTTCCTCCTCCCCCCTCCTTTCATGCACTGGATGTAGAGATTCGGAAGCTACTGATGCTTGCTGGATTGACCCAGGCTGAGCTCCTCAAACTCAGCCCGGAGCTTGGTGTTTGCGTCGGAGGGTTAGAGGATGAGGGAGATGGAGAAAATGTTATCTCGTCCAGGTCTGTGGAGCCACATGAGTTCAGGCTAAAAGAGAGGGAGGATGAGGAGGAATGTGACACAGAGTTGATGACCAGAGATGGATGGAGCAGCAGAGCAAGCAAGTTGGATGGGGATCGAAGGGTAGATATAGATGAAGAAGGCAAAAAGAAAGAGGCGAGCAAAGACACGCAAAGAACCACGTCATTCACTGAGATGGCGAGGAGAAGGAAGAGGAACAGCGGTCTGACTTCCGACTCTTACTACAGTACTGGGGTTAGCAATACACATGAAACTAAAGAAAAGAATATGAGCTTTGAGTCTTTCCGGTATCCTGCTGAGTTACCAGATTCACCTCCCCCACCTCCTCCTCCGCGCCCCTTACCCCCAATCCCCCCATCTCTGCCACCCACCAAAGTCAGCACTCTCTCTGCCAACTCTGCACAACCTGAGCGATTTGATTGGCTCATAGCATTCACACCTGATGGTGAAGCCCCACCGCAGCCTCCACCCCTGATAATGAGAAAATCTCATATGGAAATTCAAAAGAAGCTCATGTCATCAGGATCATCTCCAGCGATAGCTCCCAAGACCACAACTTTCAAAGAGCTGCGTTTCCGCAACAAGAGCGCCTCCCCCTCAACAAAAGTGATCACTGACCCAGATCCTGACCCAACAGTCATTACTCCAGATCCAGACATACTGTACAACCTGAGGTGGAGAAGAGAGAAGGCAGGCAGCGATGGCAACCAATGGGAGTACACCTCTCAAGCTCAGGCCTTCTTCATGCAGCCACCACCAGCCCTCACCTCAATGGCTGCTCTGAAGGAAATGCTCCAGAGAGCTGACAAGGAGGGTGGACAACTAGAGCTGTGCCCATCACAGAAGATTGGCTGCTCAGCCAGTGACAGCAGCCTGTGGACCATGGGCAGAGAGTGGGAGTTTGAGGACGTTAAGAGTGAGGAAAAGGTGGGGAAAGAAGAAGAGGAAGAGGAGGAGGTGGAGGTGAGAGGACTAGCTGATGGAGGAAGGACTTTGGAATCAAGATCTACAGGTGAGTAGGTATTTCCATGATGAGACTGAATCTGATGACATTGGGGAAGGGGTCCGTGCGTGTGTGTGTGTGTGTATGGGAGAAAATAAACAAATCAGAGTAACCCAGTGTAATTTGGATGACGACAAATCTGGGATGGGCAGATGATGGAAAGAAACAGATGGGGAAAGACAGACGAACAGTCAGCTTGTTCACTTCAGTCATGCACAAATAAGATCCTTGGACCATAAAATAGAAAAAAACAGAAAACCAAGGGAGGTGAAAATGTTGACTCATTTATGGAAATGATGTATGGAACGAGAGCGAAGAGTACGGAGGACGAGCATGAGTCACAGAAAGGGATGATGTGTGATATGATGGATAAGTGATGAAGGGGGATAAGCAGAGAGTGATCTCATAGACAGGAGAAGCGAACAAGACAGTGGAAGCTGGAGAGGGAAGATGACCAACAGCATAAAGAGATGTAGGGATAAAGACAGCAAAGAAAGTGAAGGTAATATGAGGAGAAAGAGGAGGTTGGAAACTTTCCAGCCAGTATGTCCTGCACTGGTTATCAGAGTGTGATGTCATCACTGCCTTATTCAATTATTCATCCACTCCTCAGAGCAAGGGGGAGAGGGATAATGGAGTGCCCACTGAGCTCACTACCTTTCTTCTCCCTCTTTCTACCAGCTCAACTCTCTTCTGCTGTCTCTTTCTCTCCTAAAATCTCGTCCTGCTCCTCTTCCTCTGCCTCTTTACTGGTTGTAAATCCCATTAACGTGGGATGTTTAATATGCTTTTCTCTTGCTGTCTATCCCCCCCCCCCATGCTCCCTAGAGTTGCACAGATAGCTAAGATCAAGTTACCTATCTCATGCAGTGCTGCAGTAGGCTACATAGACACTATTAGTTTGTCAGTGTCTACATACAGTAGGGCGTATAGTCTAATTTTAATTGCTCATGTTCTCCTGCTGCTAATTCCATTAATAGTTAAGTAGTTAAGTAAAAATGATACGTCATTATTTTAGCATTATTTCAGGGTTTTACCTTTGCATTCTGATTATAAAAGTCAAATGAATTACTAATGAGGTACATGCTGCAAAAAGCCAGAAATAGTTGTGTACACCTTTAAGAGACCAAGGGGTGGGTCTTTGTGCATGAACCAATTGCTGAGAGCTAGTGCCAGAAAAATAGGAAGTATCATGTGTTAGTTACAGTTCAAAGACAGCCCAAGTCTAACCAAGGTATGGTTGCTTTTCAGCTCATTTTGTAGCCCATAGCCGAGCAGTCTTGTCTCAGGTCATTTGAGCGTAGTGAAGCTTGTGTTGCCACAGTGTCTCTGAATCTTAACAGAGACAGACCGGTGATTGAGCAGGAACGGACAGACCTCAGCTATCTGTTGACTGACTCAGCATTACACTGTATGCTGTACTGCTGGAGAGAGGGGAGGGGTATAAAACAAAGGCAAAAGAGAGGAGAGAAAGAGAGGGAGAGAGAAGGTGATCCAGAGGTGATGGTGGCACGCACTGCAGTAAAGTTAGAGTAAAGATTGGCACTCACTGTGCTGTCTTGTGCTTAATATTCATAGCTCTCAACACAAGTATGAAATGAAAGTGAAAGCAGATGCCGTAAAGAAAACTCGGATCCTATTATGATGAATCTTTGCGATTGATAGTGGCATTTTAATTACGGTGTCATCGGGGGATGAGTGGCTGATTGACAGATTAAGTATTTCTACTGTGCAGCTGTGAGATTCTTTTATGGCCCCGGTATCATTTCCTGTTGTGTTAAACCCTTTTAAATGAAAGACTGTGGTTATTGCTCTTCATAAATCAACTCCATTGACTCTCATGCACTGTCAATGTGTAACTGTCAATCAACTGTTTGACTTGTTTAAATACTGCATTACTGCATGATGTTACATGATGACGATTTCTGCTGGAGTACACTCATGAATGTGCATTTTTCTCTCGACAGACACTAACATTTTCTGCATCTCTCTCTCCTTCCCATTTCTTTGCCACATTTTTTTTTCCTTTAATCTTCCTTGTTTTTCCTCACCTAACCATCCCATTCTGTTGTTTCCATTGTTTGTCCATGGCTTCGCTTTGCTCCCTCATATCACTTTGCCTTTGCGCTTGCCTTCTCCATCCTGACTCCGGCACATTACAATTTTTGGCCTTTTACCCTTTCCAATAACCAGTTTCCTCCCCCCCACTGTCCCTTGCCCAGTCCTCCCAACCCTACTTCCTCCACACTGCCCTCCCTTCCTATCGCCCCGGCTACTGTAACTCTGAGCCCTTTGCAGATCCCAGACCCCACAGCCATGTAGGCAGGGAGTCCAGAGATGAACACAGCACGAAACAGTGGACCCCTGCTGCCAGCACAGCTCCTGTTCACAGAGATGATTCCAGCACTGATTTAAACACAGGGTTTAACTATGAATCCCTGGCCGATTATGATGTAGACTCTCCTTGTGAATATGGGAGTATCTTTAACACACACAGGGACTTTGCGTCTGACTCTATGTGCAATTTCGACTCTCTCTGCTGCAGTAACTCAGGGAAGCAGAATGACACACACACTAAGTCAGACACACCTGTTAGTGGCCCCACAGATGCTCCAGGTTGCACCACCCCATATAAGAACATTGACGTCATGATGACGTATTCAAACAGTATCAGTGCTATGGATTCGCTGTATTCAGAAAAGCGCACACACTCCCACACAAACCATAACAGCAACAAGGCCAGGACATCTAAAGAGCTCCCTCCTCTACCCAGTATTTACCTCTACCACCCTAAAAACTGCCCTCTGCATAGGGGCGCACCTCCTCGCCTCTCCCCTATCGGAGCCCTCTCCCCTCCCCAGCGCTCTGGAGCACCCCCTCCAGGCGCAGCAGGCTCCTGCCTCAGCTCCCCGCTTTTCCCCCGCTCTCACACCTTGCCTGCCCTCGCTGCTCCCCTCTACTATCCAAACCTCTACCCTCCTATACCGCCCAGGGCACCCCCCCTACCCCCTAAACTCCACCAGGCTCCTCCGCAGTCGCGCGTGGCGAGTAAGATTTCTCTTTCTCTCTCCCTACATCTTACACTCTCTCTCTTTGTCTGACATCTTGCTCGCATGCATGTCTGTCTTTCTTACTGTCTGATTCTGTCTTTGTTCTCTGCTCTAGATATGGTGACCCTCACACTTTTTGTCACTCTTTCAACCCGGGGGGATTTGCAGATTTGAAAGAACTGGGTAACTGTAGCTGTTTTATATATCAGAAGGCAGCTCCCTGCAGGTCATTTGATACATCTTATCTACACTGTCCTTTCAAATCTGCAAAGGGCCTTCAGAAGGGTAACAGCTGTTCCTGTCAGAGGGTGTCTAGAGTCACTCTCATCACTCTTTCTCTCTGTCTTCCTCTATCTGTCTGTTTTTGTGTCGGTCTTGTCTCGTCTGTCTACCTGTTGTTTTTGTTTTCTTTTTGTGAATGTTGAAATTGACACATGCATTTCATGCCAAGCACAACCCAAGTAGCTTGTTGAAGATGAATATAAATAATTATTTAAGGTAACCTTTTTTATGATTGTGTGTGTGCATTCAAAGTAATTAAGGTCCACTGCATCCTGTACATTATAAGAATGTCTGTATTTATATAACTAGTTTATATAAATCCATTTATAGAAACATCACACTGCACACAACACCTGCCCTTTGCACATGTATGTCATTATCTGACCTGACTGACGTGGTAGCTTATACAGTTGTTTCCCCCCTAGCTCTTCACTTACCTCTATGTATGCTTATGCTTATATAATGAGTGTATTTGTGCGTTTGTGTGTGAGTCAAAATTAATGCATGGGATCCTGTTTATCCCTGATGCATATAGAAAGTTGTCTTAATAGATACAGATGTTGAAAGCTCACCAATATTTACAGGGTGTCCTTACACACTGTTTGTTGACAGTACTACCATCTGCTTCTATCTGCATACTCTGCTATGCTTCTCATTGCTTAATTGCTCCTGCTAAAAACGCAAATATTTTAGTTGTGGTATTTCTGTCTGTGGTGATTCATTTAGCTTCTGTTGAATTTGTTTTGTTTTTTTATACTTGTACAGTAAGTAATTGCTCTTTTACTGTCACTGTCAGCTGTTCGCAGTGTCTCATTCGCTGGCTCTGTACAGAGGACAGAGACATCCTGGATGGGCGAAGATGTGAAGCATCCAATGAGAGGTCTGGGCCTGTCCTCTCTGTGCCTGCAGGAAAAAAAAGGTGTGTGTCTCACCTGTGTGTGTGTCCACTTGTCCAGCAATGCATCTTTGTCCCTGATGTCTATAGCTCTTACAGTTTAACTGTAGACCATTGTTCTTCCCCCCAGCTCTGGTCAGTGCAGTCAGTGTGGCAGTGGAAGCCATCTTGGCCCAGTTCAGTTCTTCTCGGACTGTAGTTCAGAAGGTCAGTCACTGCTGAATTCACACCACTCGTGGGATTACGAGAACAGAATGAACTTTTGTTGTTGTTTTTTTGTTTGTATTGGAAGTGTTTTTCATGTCACTCTTGATTACAAATCGTTGTGTCGAGCAACAAAGTGGCATCCTGTATTGAACTGATTGTTTATCTTTGAAAATGCTTTCCCTCCATTCCTTCTTGTTCTGACTCTACATATTTTGTTCCGTCTCTCCTCAGTCTCTCTCAGTTAACAAGGTACTAGAATATCTTTAGATAACCCAATCTCGTAGTATTAAGAATTTCTTTGTAAACTAACTCCAAATTCCCCCTTCCTTCCCAAAATCATCTCTCATCACATCATACTGACCCTTATCGCTCCCTATTTCTCTCAAACCCCATGTGTCCCATTTTCCTTCCCTCCCTCTCTCTTGAGTCATCCTTTCACATCTATTCCCCCGTCCCTCCCTATCACTGCACATCTTCTTCCTCACTGTATCCCATTTTCCTCTCCTCTCTTCTCCTCTCCTCTCAGGCCTTATCAGGAGACAGCACTATAAATCCATCTCTGGGCCGTCTGGTGCTGCAGTGCCTATGCCCTGCCCTGCACAGCTTGCTGACCGATGGCTTGAAACCCCACCAGAGTGACCTGATTGCAGGCAGGAGGCCAAACTCCGCCTGGAGTCTTGTTCAGGCCTCAACCAAGCCAGGTAGATATAGCAAGGATTGTAAAAAAAATTTGCATTTATAGATTTGGAAATTATTTCTGTGGGATGATTTTCCCCTGGATCTTAATGATAAAAACTCTGGACTTCGTTTGTCTCTCATTTTCCCACACATCAGTCAATACTTGTTGATTTTAGTGCATAAATGCTGAATAATGCGAACAACAGGATGCAGATATCGATTGGCCTGTGAGTGCCAAGTTTGGCTGAATTTTTCGCTCACCTCTGCAAGTTCCTCTGTTAAGCCCGTTCTCTCTCTCTCTCACGCTCACTTTACATATATTTTCTCCTCTTTTTCTCAACACATTTTTCAAGGTCCAAAAACACAGGCCTTGCTCAACCTTCAAGTTCGAGTTGGAGAGCTGCCCCAGCTCAGACAGAGCAAACACAGGTTCAACGCATTCCTCCTTGGCCTACTGAAGTAAGTACTGGCTCCTAATCCTCTCTCTGGTGTCCTGGTAGCATGAAAAGTGCTCAAATTAGTAGTTAAAAAATAGAATATACTATATTTTGATCTGCCTGCACATGCCCTCTTTGTATCCTCAGTTTTCCTCTTTTCTCTGTTTTTTTTTCTTTTAGTATTAAGCATCTTGATCTCTGGCTGTCCCACCTTCAGTCTTGCAGTGGTAAGTTTCCTTCACTTCCATGTCATCTCATTCCTGTGGCTGTGCATCTATGTAACCTTAATCTCTCTTCCCCTCAGATGTACTCGAGACATATTACCGTCCCACCTCCTTTATGCGCCTGTCACTGACCGCCTGCCAGCCTCTGTTCGAGGAGCTACTCCTCGTGTTGCAGCCTCTCAGCCTGCTCACCTTCAACCTCGACCTGCTTTTCCAGCACCACCATTTGGAGCCAGACGGTCACAATCCAGAGATCCCCAGTCCACCCTGTCAGGATGCTGGATTCCAGCTTTCAACAGAGGGGTCTCAAAACAAAATCACAGGCTGCGGATATATTGAAAGCCTGTCAGAAGTAGACTTTGGAAGTCCAGAACATCAGTTAGCCAAAGAGAAATCATCCCCATTGGCTAATCCAAAGAATAGAGGATCAGGGGAGTCAACACATGACAGTGCTGCACCCATAAAGGCTTCGGTCACTCTTGGGCAGACAAGTCCTCAGCTGTTGTGGGTGCAGGAGAAGGAAATTGGAGAGTTACCGCCTCCTGATATTGAGGAGGACAGCCTTGCTCAGCAGGCAGGACAGGTACTCACCTTTTGTGTGGCTGTTTAGTTTTTGTAGTCAAATGCATTTGTGTGATCCTGCAGGGCTGACATTTTTTTTTAAATCATAGGTGATCCAGCAGGGATGGGGAGCTGTGATGCGCTGGGGAGGCAGACTGAGCCAGAACCTGGCTGAGCTGAACCTGAAAAAGGGAGAGATGAGGACGGATCTGCCAGAGCTCCAGGCACAGAGTGACTTTGCTCCGGTCAGCAGTGGTGCTCAGGTTCCCTGGGGTCTGGGGAGGCTCTTTGGAGCCTCTAAAAGCCCCAACAGCCCACCAGGTCAAACACCACCAACCAGGTTAGCCAATGAATTTAATGCATACATTAGTACATCTTTCGAGAGATTGTAATGGATTTGTGAATTCGACCACTGTAGTGACTTAAACAACTTCTAAAGTCACTGCTGTACTTGAAATTGTTTTCTGTGTGAATGGTAACTGTCTGTGTTTCTTCTCTACCCATCTGTCCCACATTGTCTCTTTGTTTTCCCTCATCATCATCCCGTCCTCTTTCTGTCTAACTCTGCAGGCGTCCCTCTCAGTGGCTGGCTCCTGGTGTCACAGCACTGACTCGAATGGTGAGCAGCAGCTCCACCCCGATAATAAAGAGGGCCCCGGAGCCCCAGGGAGATGGTCAGCCAGAGTCAGAGAAAGAGGTGGATGCACTGGAGATGAAGGACAAACCCAGACCACTCAGGTACAACAGACATAACGTGATGCCGATGGTTATAGAGGGTGGACTTTTGCATTTTTGTTGGCTGAAGTGGAAGATAAATCTCTATTTCAGAGTTGATATCTCACGCCACTGATTCAGTTTTGAGTAATCTTTCAAGGACGTTACATTTTGGCAGTTTTAACAAGCTTCAAAAATAACTTGAATTGTCCTGAAGAGTCTATTATGAAAAATATAAAAATCCTTTATTGAATCAGACCTAAAATCTCAGTAGCCCAATTTTGACAAAAACAGATCTTGGTGCTATAATCTAAAGTCAAGATTTAGGATTAACGCCACAAATTTGTATATAAAAAAGCAGTATACACACATAGATACACAACAGTACACAATACATCTTCCCTCTAAAACCCATCCCTTCCTCCCCAACAAGCTTCAACCATACAAATGTGAAATAATAAACCATAGAACAAATGGCATACACATAAAAACTAATATGCAGATAATACTACTCATGCACTGTACCATAATTACCTGCACATAAGGGGCACTATTAGTCACTCAAAATTTTTATCTCAGTGACCAATGAATAATAGAATATAAAAGGTTTCCATACTTTCCTAATATTATCAGATTTTTCCTTTTATGGTTAATTAGATTTTCTCTAGTTGCAAATGAAACATGACATCTTTTAACCACCTTGCATGAGAAGAAGGTTTTTTATTTTCCCAATTACATAGAATAAAATGATGGGCTAACATACAGGTAAATACAAGAGCGTTGTATGTATTGGTAGACTAGGCAGACTGAGTCCTTGCCGCAGCGGCAAGGGTTCGAATCCAGCCTGTGGCCCTTTGCTGCATGTCGTCCCCTCTCTCTCTCTCTCTCTCTCTCTCTCTCTACTCCTTTCCTGTCTCACTGGCTGACCTATCCAATAAAAAAGATGTGTGTTGTGAATCTGTCCCAAGTAGGATCTAAATTTGGATATATTTTGGACACAATAAAAAACAAATGAATTTACATTACAGGACATGGAATAAAAAATAGATGGTTAAAAATAAAAACCCTTTTCTTTTTTTTTCCTTCTTTCCCCCTCTAAGAGCACCAGTGGGTGTAGGAGACACCAGAAGTTCTCCTGTTATTATTTTTGCCTTTGAAAGACTGTAACTGGTGACTCACCAGCCTGACATTGAGCGATCCTGCATTGTGACTCATCCAAGATTTGGCTACATGTCAGAGATGACGTTATTGTTTGTGGTTTCTGTTTAATGTAGACCATTTTGACTGAGAAGATCTCTGCTGTCTGTCCTCAGGTCAGTACGAACGCTGTGTGACCACACCGGAGCAGGTTCGGAGCTCAGCTTCCGCAAAGGGGAGGAACTCATGGTGTTAGGAGGAGTCGATCAAGACTGGATTCGCTGTCGTCAGGGAGATAACGAGGGGCTGGTGCCTATTGGCTATACCTCCCTCATCATGTGACTTCAATACCATAACTGCTGCACTAAATCAATAAAAAAAGCAAAATAAATATATATATATATATATTTTAGGCGAGTATTGAGAGGTTGTGGTGAGGCTCCGTTACTCTGAAAGGGATATTTCACGCTTGCACGGTTAGAGTTTAAATTGAGTGCATAACACCATCTGTTCTGCTTTACGTGCATCAGGAGCAGTCTGCAACCCTCTCCCTTTATGAACATATGGCTGTTTTTTCCCATCACAATCCATCCAGTTTGGTAGCATTAAACTAATGGATTTTAACAGCAGGAATGCAGCAGATGGTGTGAAATAATGACTCAAGTCAAATTTAGATCATTTCCTACTGGAAGACCTTTGATCTTGGAGTGAAGTATCCCTTTAAATGTCCTTTTCTCAATTTCTGCCTTCCTTGTCAGCCACTGATCTGAACATCATCACAGGGGAAATTCTGTGCAATCAACCACTAGCAGATTCAAGTGCTTTCAGATCAGCGGCTGCCTGTTGTGAGGCGGCGACAGTCGACAGCCTGGTAGTAGCCACGTTAATATCTATAGCCGTCAGCCATAGAGAGTTGTGGCATGCAGGTTGTCGAGTTGAGAGAGCATGTTAGAGTACTGGGCCGTAGCTCCTGTTGCATACTGCGTAGTAATGTAGTGAATTGTAGCTGTGTAGATCTGTGTTATGACCTTTCACCCCTATTGACCTCTCACCTTTATCGCCTGGTTCATGTGTGTTTGACATGTTTCTGCTAATATATTTGACTGTATAAATATACATAAAAAATATATAAATAGGTATATAAATTGAGATTGATATTACCAAGATAGATAGAAAGATAGATGAACAAGAGAAAGCAGACAGTAAAACACAAGCTTAATACTGTGGCCACATTGAGGAAGTGGATGATTTAAAAATGAATGGAATCATTCTTTATCTTTACATCTTCTGCAACTTTACACACATTAAGTAGTTGTCATACATGCAAAAAAAAAAGGAATATGTGTTTGTTGTATGAAATCCAGTATCTTCCCTCCTATGTGCTTTATGTATTGCCAATGTCTTGACATCATATTCATAAAATATTTAGATTTAGCCTCATACCATAAACACTGTATGCATTGTAATGTGCCATGAATGCTTTGAATGAATGCCAGAAAATATCTATCCCACACACTTATCAGACAACAGCAATCTGTAGCTAATCTCTCTACTCATCCAAAACCTCAAAGGGCCAACGTGAGTTGGAATAAACACCTCACAAAACTATGCTCAGCTCTTGTTCAGCACTATCTGACCATAAATTTAAAGCAGTGAGAAAATCCCAGATGTATGTAATTCATCATGCTACTGTAAAGTCTGTAGGTTTGGTGGCTGGTCTTCACCTCGTACCTCAGCTTTTGTATTTCTCTTAACCCTTCCTGCCATGTTTGCTTATCATAATCATTGATATTAATGATAGTGGTAGTGGTGGAAGTGATTTGTTGATTCTAATGTTGCTCATATGAAACACATTAATTATTTATTGGTTATTCTCTAGATTCTGTATTGATTACTATGCATATGGTTAAATGTACAACTAAAAGCCTTGTTTGTTTTGAAGTCATTTAGATTTGATGTTCTCATGCAATTCGGCAAATGAAGCCTAAAACAAAAGCTTAAATAGTTAATATAAAAGAAACTGATTTTAACTGGTCACTAAAGGACCTCCAGGAAAGTTTCATTTCTATTGATGAATCAGGGAAAGCTCAGTTCTTGAAAGTTTCCTCATGTTATTGTGTCAATGCCATGTAGCATGACATTTCCGTCACTATGGCAACTGTCCAGTAGCATTCAGTTAAGCCAGTGCTCATACCTTGTAACTTCTAATCCCAATCAAATGCCATCAAATGGATAATCCCTAGGTGTTTACAAGAAATAATGTCTAGATAGAATATAAAATATCGGTTGACGCATTAAAATGTGTCAAGTTTTTGTTTTTTTGTTTGGTTTTGTATTATTTTGTTCAAATGTGAGGTTATGGTCTAAATGCATTTGTTTTAAAGCTGTTAATTTATTGGATGTACTATTTATTGATATTGAGGTTTCTGAAAGGAATAGCTCTATCTGACCCATCTAGTGTCTCTCTATCTATCTGGGTTCATTATCTGAGTGTGTGTGTGTGTGTGTGAGCGTGCACATGGCAGTGTATGTGGCAGTGAAAGCAGAGATGAGTGTGAGCACATCTGTGTCTGCACATCCTGCACTTTCACTTATGTGTGTCTGTAAAATGATGAGTTCTGTACCTCCTCTTCCTCCTCTCTTTCTCTCTCTGGTGTCATGTAGCCTGTAGACATCCCCGTGTCCTACTATTGCATATAGTTCAGTGCCCCTATAGTGTCAGTCACTGTCCACCTCCTGCATGTGCTTGTTTGTAAATACACCAAATAAAATGATCAGTATAAACGAAACCTGCGCAGCTGTTTGAGTCACATTGTTGGGCTTACATTTATGTTAAAGAGTTTATATGTTAAGGCATCATGGTATGATAAATGTAGAAGAGATCTCACTCAGAAAACATAAATGACATGTCCTGTTATTTGTTGTTATCTTGAATGTAACAGGAAACTACCTACATGTGTCACGTTGCAAAGGAAGTGAAGACTCACAATTGAGCCTTCTATAAAACACTTTTAATACCTAACTTCATCCGTTTAAAATTCACAGGGAATTCTCTCAATTCTTTGCTCGGATGAAAAGATCCCCGGATGCCCTCGGATGTGGTGAAGGGCAGAAAGGAGAATAAATCTCCAGAGTGAGCTGCAGCCCTCCCCCATCTTGTAACCGCGTTCCTTTGATAGCGTCCTCCATTGTGGGTCATTATGGAGGACAACACAGCGTGAGATATACAATCTAACACCACTAGATAGCACTGTTAGCTCGAGCTGATTAAAATCACTGCAGTAACAGGACAAGGCATTATAACTGATACACCAATAGCCTGTAGGGTTTAGTACTAGTAGACATAAAATGCTTTTATTATTATGATTATAGAGGCAAAAAGTCTGAGCTGACATTCTATGGCGTTGAGTTATAACTGTTTTTGATGTTTTTTTTCAGATGCACATTATCAGAGGCAACAGGCAAAGGTTACATGTCATGCAAACTAGATAAATAACTCTTTATGTGTACCTTTGCTATAAAGTTAATCATCCACTGGCAATAATGTAGTGCTCTTAGTTAAAAAAGGAAAGAGGAAAAATATACATACAGTATGTAAACAGTCAAAGAAATTGCACTTTCTTGGCTTGTTATTAGAAGCCACACTACTGAAAGAGAGCAGAAATTTAACACTGGAACTAATTCACTGTCACTGATTGTCTGACCAATAATTAAAAACAAAAAAAACAAAACAACGTACACTCAGCTAACAAAAAAAGAGACAAATTATGTAAGTCTACAAAAAATCATATACAATCATAGTCAATTTTAAGGAGAAATTACTGATATATTGGTCAGCTGTATAATCTGTTAAAACATGTTAGTAAAATGAAAGATTTGATTATTAAGTTTTATGTATAATCCCGATAGTATTGTCATGTATAATACTACTTTTACACGCTACTGCTGATAGAAGGAAAACAGGTCTCTCTCTATGTACATTCACATGAAACTAAACGCTTATGGTTACTTCCACTAAGCAGATTAGCCCAATGCTCCTAAGATGAGAACAATCTACTATGCAACTGTACAGAAAAAAATGACCTCAATCCTCAAATATTCACAACTTAAAAAACATAACAAAGGAAGTCCTTATATAGTCCTTATCGGATGAGATATTGCTTTTAAAGACTGCATGAGTTCGCTTAGGTACGTACACAAGACAACATGGCACTTTTACAGAGCATTTGGGGCAAATCAATTCTAGTTTTCGTTCCCTTTCCTCTCTCCTTTCTCCGCCCGAGGACATTCTGATTGTCAATGCTCTGGAGCAAAGAGCGAAACATTCTGAAAGGCAGTCTGAAGTAAACAAAACACTTTTTACCCTTCTCCCTCCCTTCCCCAGGAAGCAATACTGAAAATAGTCAACAATAAACATTCCTATCATGAATATATTTTGTCCATTTCTTAAGCAGACAGTACTCAAGGCTGTCTTTCTTTTTTTTTTCAAAAATAACTTCTTTCTTAAAACCTCATTAGAAATTCTCTTGCATTGATGCCAAAATTCCTATCACTAAGCCCACCCCCCTCCCCTGCCTATTCACTGGTACATAGCAGACACTGTCTTGGTAAAGTGAAGAAAAACCCCTAACACTGTCTCGACAGCCTTTAACTGGTTCACTTCTACTCGTGTCATTTCCCAAAGGTGCAATGTGACTTTGAAAGCTTAACGATTAAATGAGGGTTCAATTTTGACCTAGTTAGGGCCCAGGCTACATTTTTATTCCCTCGGGCAGTTTGTGAACTCCTCGTCTCTTGGAATCCTCAGAGCCGAAATGCTGAGTACCGTATATGTCCACTTTCAGTCTCCGAACGACATCTGTCTTTCCCAGTTTGCTTAAGGTGCCGAAGTAAGAGCAATCAAAGTGTATGTCTGTTTATAGTGTGTCCACTCAGCATACATACAGTCTTTAGTGTGCTTGTTCATCCAGCACTAGTGCAAATTCATTTCAGCTGGTCTGTTTCTGTCTTTCATCCGGGACAGTCTATCTCCGTTTCTCTCATCCCTCGACGCTTGGACAAAAGATGTGTTGCCATGGTTTCATCCTCGGTGTGATGCCCTTCAGAGCGCTAAGTTCAACACACTCATCTGTCAGTGTGTGAGATGTCTTTCTTGCATTTTCAGCCGCAATAATTCTCCTGCTCTCTTCTCCCTTTCTCCCTTGTTCTCTGTGGCACTACTACTGGTAATAGCAGTGTTATGACATCAATCCCTTTCCATCTGTCCAGTGGTGGGCCTGGTCCCTTTCTCAGAGTGGTCCCACCTACATAAAGGCAAGATACTATCAACAAAACCATGTGTATACCTCTCCGAGTCCCTCCTGCTTCTGTATCTGATGCTCTACTCACCTCTCTCTGTTAGCTTATGAATGCTGCAGGGTCAAAAGTAAATCATTCAGCCGTTTCCTCCTCTGTTCTCTGCTGCAGACCTCTTCTTCCCCTCGTTTTTCTTCTTCTCCCTCCTCCTCATTTCTGTTCTGGGTTTTAGTGGGCTGTGGTGAACAAGTATGCACAATTAATTGCAAAAGCAGATTTTTATCCTTGTGGAAATTCTTAAAAGAAAAATATTGTTTTTCTTTCTTTCTTTTTTTCCGTGGGTGCATGTGTTCACTCACACAGGGGCTGGCAGTGAGCAAGCTGGAGGTGTCTTGACTCTGATGGTGGGGGTCACTGCTGATAACTGTCACCTCCTCCCCCACTGGCTGATCTGAAGGTCAGAGGTCAAACAGCATTCTGTATGTTAGTAAAAGCGTTGCAGTAGGGAGTGAAAACAGCATATAATTTATTTTACAGATATATCTGTATTTATGAGACTGACTGTCTTTTTTCCCCTTCATTACTATTTGCCATCAGTCAGGAAGTCTTTGATGGAAATTGTGTGGTTTCACTGCTAATGGGGAAAGTTGATGCCTACTGGGTTCTTGGACACCAACAGTGGATGACAGAAATGGAGAAACATTTCTGCAGGCAGAAATTCTGTGGTTGGAAAACCACTTAGTTTGTGCTGCTGAGTATGATATGGAGAGACAAGCCAAATATGAGGACAACGGCTGTAAGCGGAGCACACACACACACGCACAAATACATGCACACATAAAGTAAAAGACACAACACAGGACACCAGAAGAAATCTATACAGATGTACAGAAAAAATGAACATGTATAGACTTCAACCACGTACACGTATGCATACACAAACACCTACAGAAACAAAAACTAACACACACACTTGCTTCATGGACCTGACTTGATGTGGCTGTCGTCCCCATTGGCTCCATCACAGGACAGACGTTGTGAGTCCCTCTCCTCTCCCTCTGTGTCTCTCTCTCCCGCCCTCTCTATCCTCAGTTGGATCTGTCTGTCTCTCACAAGCTCCCAGTTCCTCACAAGGAACACGTGGTGTTTCACCACAAAGCTCCTGGCCCGGGCACACAGAGAGAAACATAAGCCATTCTGTGCTGACATCAGTGCATCAGTAGTTTATTCTGAAACGTGAATTGCTGTGTTCTTTCCATACCTCTCACTGCTGGTCAAAGGTTCCATGTCGAGGTGAGGAAATAGGCTGGTAATGTCACTGGAGCTCTCCTCCTGTGAAATAAAATAAAATAAAATGGAGGGACACATGCACGTTTTACCAGTTATGTAAACTACATTCTTAAGTGGAATGAATTGACCTCTAGTCACATAAACTCACCGCTATCTGGTGAGAGGATGCAGCCCTCTCCTTCAGCCGGCCTGAGTGAAACCAAAAGAGAGCGAAAGTGAGTAAGATACCGTATAAGAGTATTGATTTGATCCATCAACTAAACCTGAAGATAACACATCCGATGCTGGCAACTCACAGTAACGCCGCTTTCTCTTTAGGGGGACAGCAGGCTGCCTTTGAAGCTGCAGCAACACAACATGAGAATTATATCCATATTCATGAGGCTCCACAAATCTCCTTGTAACACTCTTTTATCTGCAAAGACGCTAAGGTTCGACCTTCTAACTTCCAGATTCTGTGTTTTGGGGTTCTACTGTACCTGATTGTGCTGCCACAGCCACATAACATCATAAGGTAATTGGAAATGAATCCGCTTCAGCCTAAGGTACTTCCCTGGGGGTAGAAAGGGAGTTTGGATGAGCTATCACAGCTATAACAAAGTATAGCAACATTTGCACTTTTTTAGATACTCACCAACATGTATGGGAGCAGGTAAAAGGCTGTATTCATGCTCCTCTGGTGTGTATTCCATACTCTCTCTGCACAGCTGATGGGTTTGGGAGGGCGGACTACGAAAGAGACACATTAAAAACATAAAAAAAAGACCCGATAACAGAAACAATGTTATAATAGTTTGTTTATGAATTCAAACTCACTCTGTAGTTTTGTAATCATCAGAGTAAAGACCTGCCCTCAGAAACTTCTTCCTGGGAGGACCATCTGCTCTCTCCTCTCTTTGGATGGTTACTGGTTGGGATGGAGCCTGGTCCACATCTGATTGGCTAAAACATTCAGGGGGGGTGTCACACTCAGATTTATCCTCAGCGACACTAAAAGGAAAGCATGAAGAGAGAGATAGAACGATAGAGAGGAAAAAGAGAAAGAGAGAAAAGGCACTGGTTTAGCACACAGTGCTGAAAACGATGGGTTAATATAGCAGTAGTGAGTGGTTGTATTGAATTTTCAAGTCAACCAGCTCAGGTACTTTATAGTACAGTTGTGATTGTTTACCTCTGATGACAAGGGGAGTCACCATGTTT